CCCCCCCCCCGCCCCCAGCCATAGGTCTGGTTTTCCTGGTTTTCTTTCCGCCAGGAAAGTACCGCATCGAGAACGCGGACTTTGGGGGCAACCAGGCATCTTTGACAGACCTGTCCCCTACAAAGATTCTGCGTACGTGTGTTTGGTTGTGGCTGCGCCTTTGGTGGTTTGTTTAGTTTAAAGGGACCAAAGGACACCGCCCTTTGTTGGGGGTTCCCCCAATTTTGAGACAAACCCATATGGACCATAGTTATGCTTTTAGGGTGATTGTGGCACAGAGTCAGCAAATGTTACTTTTGTGCCCCAGATGTGGGCCAAGACAGAAGGCAGAAGGGACTCAAGTCATTGCTCCGAATGAAACATAGCGAGCTCCCGTTCGGGGTACATCGAGCTCATGCATCATGAAGGTCTTTGTCCCGCGGATTTCTTATTTGCGGCTTATGATTTATAGTAGGTCAGACTGAGGTAGTTTCCTAATGGCCGGTGGTGTTTGTTTATCCCAGGCGAGCTACTCCAAATGGCTGGAATTTCTAGCCGCGTTCCTTGTGTGCACCTAGAATGGTTCGCTGGTTGTACTGCAACCCAAGCTGTTTGGCGAGACTCTGAGGTTGTATTCTGCGGCGCTTCTCGTTTAGACAAGTGTGGGAGCCACACACCATTCAAAGCCTAGTTAGGCACATAGTAGTCCCATTGAACTTCAGCCATCCCCTTAGCTTTTTAGCCTTTTGGTGTTTAGTGGGGGTTTCCATTTCGCCCACTAAAAGTTAAACTTTTGGCAGGGGATCTGAGGGCAGCCCAGTGAACGGGCAGTTTTCACAAAGGATGCTACTGTGGATGGGCGAAATCCATTTCGCACCGCTTGGAAACCATGGTTGAATACATTGTTTGTTGGCGTTTACCAGGGAATCATCAAACACGAGGGTTTCTTAGGTGGTGCCTAAGAGGACTTCGTCCATCCTCGGTAGTTAACAACTTCTCGGATTCAACTTGTCCTTCCATTTGCTTAAGAATATGTAAAAAAAATATAAAATGTTTTTTTCCCTGTTGGTTTTAAAGGGAATCTATCACTACTGTTTTTTTGTTTTTTTAATGTCATTTGTTCTTTCCAGGGGTCTTAACCAAATGGAAGTGTCGGATTCAACTCTCGGAAAACAAGCGGTTCGGCCAGGCCGGCGGCTCATGTTGAAAGCTTCTGGACCAGGATGACTGATTTCTGGGTGGCGCAACCAGCCATCCCTTTGGTGTTTTTTAGTTTTTGTCAGTTTGCTTTAGCTTTTTGTTCAGCCTTTTTCAGCCTTTTTGAGCCTTTTAAAATTTTAGCGTTGAGTGGTTGGTGTTCCACTTCACCCACTAAAAGTTGAACACTGTTTAGCGGGCGATCTGAGACCAGACCAAATTCATGTCAATGAATTATAGCCTTTTGGAATGACAGGAGGGAACAATCAAGCTCCAGGTTTGAGACATTATGATTTTGTTCCCACCGACTTACTGGAACTACAATGTGTCTTTCAAAAGCCCCAAGCAAATCGGTTCATGTTTCGTAAACGCTGCGAATGTGAGAAACAGCAGGAAACGTCCCAGATGTTTGAGAAAGCAGGGGCTGGTTTCAGGAAAACGACTACAAGAGAAATCTCCGTTTGGCTTTGGGTCAAAAGCTCGTACCCCCAGTGAACATCCCAATCCCCACTAAAATAGACCAACATGAGTAGAGCACCTACCCCAAAATGGGATCCCATTTGTTTCGACCCACAGCCATCTTTGAACTCAGGTGTTTTCAGAAGAAATCAGCACGTCTTTGCCTCAGTTGCCCAGGTTCAGCTCTGCCTGGGGACGGCTTATGGAGGCGACTCTGAGTGCGGTTTGAAAGGGAAGCCAAGGGGTAGCCATCTTTGCTTGAGGTGAGCCACAATCAACACCCGGGTAGATGAAGGTAAGTAAGGCATGCAGCAAGTTCTTTACATGGTTTCGGGCAAGGTGTCCCAAGTTTGGAGACCAACCCAGAATCCCTGGAAGTGAATGGGAGATGTACGGGGACATGGGAGCCTGGTTCGGATGTCATTTTTCAGACTTGCAGGCGTATGCTTTGGAGCAAGTTGCTTTGAAGGCCTTTGACCAGTGGAATAGAAATCGGATTTCCGCAGATTGGCTTCCCTTCGTTGTTCTCCAGAAGTCCCTGCGCTTAGTTCGATATGGGTCGCCATTCAGCACGGCGAAGGCTCTTCAGCCCTTGGGTTTGCAGGCCTTGTGCCCAGGGTCGGAGGACGCCCGCTTTGGGAATGGCTCAAAGCCGGTTTGGACCCCTTCGAATGATTTGGTTCCATGTGCTTGTGTTTTGATTCGCCATGGGCCATCAGCCCAGTGCTGGCCAAAGTTTGCCATACACTCCGACCAACTAGGATGGCACCTACAAGAGTGTCCCTTTTAGAGGGGAAATGTACATCTCCGGACCTAGTCAGGTCCCATGTTATAGTGTACATTCCCGATGTTCCAGCGGAACGCACGCTCGAAAAGGGATCCCAGCCTTGTTCGCCCAAAATGTTGGAGTCAGTCAGGGTTTCTCAGAATTTGGGCTTGTTTTTGGTTGGCGGTGAAAGGGAAACCAAAAGGACGCCAACCACCTAAAGTACCCAAGTTTGAGAAACACCACATATATTATAGGTATACATATATATATATATATATTATACAATACACCTGGGGTTCAAACCACCATTGAAACAACGGTTAGGATTAAGATAACCACCATTATTTATCCAGTGTTCCTTGAGCCTTGAGCAGGATATGCTTGTTCTAAAACTCCTTCTCCCGAAAGCATGCCATTTGTGCGGCACGTTCTGACATGCGATGCAGCCTTTTTCAGGCAGTGGTGGGGGTGATCTACTGTGGAAGCCCTAAATATTGCAAGTACCACCACATGGGATGTTAACACCACTTCCATGGCATCGCCCGCTGCGTGCGGACCCCGCACCCCCAGGTACAATGTTGAAGCCAAGTGCGTAGCCCCTCTTCCGAGGCCCAATATATTGCAAGTTCAACATTGAGTCAGGGGAGGGGGGGCCGCAGATGTCATGTTGCTGTGCTTCCTGTTGTGACAGGTGCCATTATTTCTTTGCTCCGCACTTGCAATATTTAGGGCTTCAACCGTCTCACGTAGAGCGTCTGTTGTCTTTTGCTTGTGCAATATTTCGGGCTTCCACCGTCTGTGTCCGCGTCTGTCTCACGTAGACCGTCCGTTGTCTTTGGCGTCCGCGTCCGTCTCACGTGCACTGCCCGTTGTCTTCAGTCGGCTTTGTCTGCGCGCTCGCTCGCTTGTCCTCTGCTGCATGGTGGGTGGTGGTGCTCGGTCGGTGGCACAGCCTGGCAGACACGTGTGTGCGCGCGCAGCTCTTGACTTCTGCAGTTGCAAGGTGGCTCAGACACAGGCTATCCGACTTACCACGCATGCCCTTCCGCCATTTCACTGACCGGGAACTCGAGCTGGTTCGCGCTTGGAAGCTTGAAGGGCGGCGCCCTGCCGAGATTGCGGAGCTGCTGGGACGGCACATTTCCACGATCGTCCGGCACTTCCAGCGGCTGTCCCGGGGCCGGGCTGCCAAGCGGCAGCCCACAGGACGACCGCCCAGCCTGACTCAGCGCCAAGTCGACCAAGTTGTGAGCACAACCCAGCGGCTTGTGAAAGAAGCCAAAGCTCAGTGGCAGGTCACGGCTGCCATGGTGCGACAGGCGCTGCGTCTGAAATGCTCTGTCAAGACCATCCGCAAAGTTCTGCATGAGCGCGGGATCACCTTTCGACCAATGCGCCAGAAGCCGCTGCGCACTACGGCTGATGAGCACACCCGACTGGAGTGGGGGAAGAAATACGCCCCAAAAAGGGCATCCTTCTGGTCTGAGAGGGTGCACGCCTACCTGGACAACAAGTTCTTCCCCGTCTACCCGAACCACAAGGCAAGGTGCTACGCTGCCAAGCGCGCCACTGGTACCTACCGAGCAAGGGGCGAGGGCTTGGGCGAGGGGCATGTTCGACCACGCAAGACCTTGAAAGTGTCTTGGGGGAAGAGTGTCAACGTGGCGGTGGCCCTGAGTGCCCAGAAGGTTCTGATGTGCCACGTGGTGGAAGGCCACTGGAATGCAGCGGAGGCCTGCCGCATGTATGCACGGAGCCTGGGCCCTGCCCTGCGACGCGCAAGCCCCGAGCTCGACCGGTTTGTGGTGCTGGAGGACAACGATCCCAGCGGCTACAAGAGCCGGGCGGCCAGGGACACAAAGGTGGAGCAGCGGATCAACGTGCTGGAGATCCCAAAGCGCTCGCCTGACGTCAACCCACTCGACTACGGCTTCTGGGCCCACGTCAATGAGCGGCTGCGCGTGCAGGAGAGCCGCTTCGGCGTCAATTTTCGTGAATCCAGAGACCACTTTGTGCGCCGCCTCAGGCGCACGATCCTGCGCACCCACCCGGCCTTCCTGCGCTCATTGGTGACATCCATGAAGCGGCGAGCAGTGGCCTTGGTGGCCGCCAAAGGGCGGGACTTTGAGGAGTGATACAGCGAAGCCTGCGTCCAAAAATCTCGAGCTCCGACACGTGCATGCAGCTTGTAAGGCTTTGGAAAGACTTGCCTGTGCAAATTGCAAGGGTTTGGAGACGTGCAAAGCGCCAGAGTGAAACTCCAGAAATGTGAAACTCGTGCAACTTGTTCACACTGTCCTGAAACTCGTTGGTATTTGCGTGAAACTCGTGAAACTCGTGAAATCTAGAAGAAAAAAAAGGCTTACTTATTTTTCTTCTAAGTTTCACAAGTTTCACGAGTTTCACGCAAATACCAACGAGTTTCAGGACGAGTTCTGGCCATGCTTCACGAGTTTCACATGTTTCGGGTCTTGGTGCGGAGGTTGTGCGGTACGGTGTGTCTGTTTGCTGCTGTCTTGTCTCACATGCCCGTTCCGCTGTAGCCGTCACCGTAGCCAAGCCGGTCTAGATCTTCGTCCCCAAAACTACTCCTGCCATGGGGTCTGCGGAGGAGGAGGAGTTTTTGGAGGTGCTGCGGGAGTGGGACAACGCAGTCGCGCCATGCCCGCAAGGCGTGGTTCCAGGGGTTGGCCCTGCGCAGCCTGCGGGCGTGGCGCTGCCAGTGGCAGCCGCTGCTGCCGAACTTGGCGAGGCAGCTCGGGGCCGACGCCTCACAGGGAAACAGCCGAACCCCGCAGTCAACCAGAACGCTGCTTCGAGTGCAATCCTTGCTGAGAGACTGGCGGACTGCACGGCCTTGTCGGTGGATGTGCAGAGGAAGCACATGCACTACACGCACGTCCGCACCACGTCGGCGGGCGACCGGCAGCCTTCCACCTTCACCCGGGCTGGGTTCTGGGAGCACATCCTCCAAGTCTACCGAGAAGCATACCCAGACGCTGCCAACCCCACGGGCTCCATCGTGCAGTTTGGGGCAGTGGCGAAGGAGCGGCATGCGGCCTCGCAGGATGGTTTGCGGGACGAGCACCATCATTGCCCAGTGTACTGCAGCAAGCGGCACTACTGGAAGCGTGTGGCTGACATCTCCTACCAGAAGTACAAGGTGAAGCTCCACGCGGCCACGCACGACGGGTACTACACCATGTATTCTTACATCACCGCCCCGACTACGAAGAAGCCCTTGGCTGAATTGGACGCGGAGGCGCGGAATCTAGACAAACAACCGAACCTGTTTTGTCAAACCTCCCTGTCAGGTGTTCTTGTCGGTGGACCACCCGCGTGGAGACGCCCTGCGGCAGTTGCTGGAAGCAGGCGCCATTGCTGCCCGTGCCTTGAATGGACGTCAACACAAGCAACAAGCTGAAGAAGCTCCGCAACGTGCGCCGCAGAAGCGCTTCCGCTCCGGGGACATCTTCACCCTCATGGAGGAGCACAACTTGCAGAATGTCCTGGACTTGCAAGGGCTGGCCAACTCCTTGGCCCAGCAAGGCAACCCTCGCTTGGCGCAGTTCTGCACAAGCATGGGTGAGGACCGCTTGGGTCAGCTGCTCAATGCAGCACGTGGTGTCATGGAAGCACCCACGCGTGTGGCCATGCGCCAGCACTCCCGTTTGGACACCTTGCGGGACGCAGCCATGACTAGTCCTTGCACCTGCAGCGGCGTGTGGGCTCCAGCTGCTCTTCGCACCTTGACCAACAACCAAGAGGATGTGCGCAGGTTCTGCCAAGACGTCTGCCGCGCCCTGCAGTTGGGAGCTCGGCGGGGCGTCAACCTCGCAATTGTCGGCGTCCCAGGCAGCGGCAAAAGCATGCTCCTTGAGCCCTTGGACGGCATCTTTCAGGTCATGGGGAAACCTGAAGCCCGGAGCTCCTTCCCTTTGGCCGGTGCTTTGGATGCGCAGGTGTTGCTGTGGCAAGACTACAAGCACCAGGATCAGACTGTGCTTTTTGAGGACTTGCTCTCCCTCACCGTGGGGGAAATGATCTCAGTCCGAGTGCCACACCAAAAGAACCAGACCTTCCGCAACGTCGCGCCCCTCTTCTACACCTCCAACTTCCCGCTGCAGGTGCGCCGGCCTGACTTGGAGGAGGCCACGCGCTTGAACCAAGCCATGGCCGAGCGCTTCTGCACGCGTCAGTGGAAGATGCCGTTGCCAGAAGCCGAGCGGATCCCGGACCTGCCTCGATGCTCACGGTGCTGCGCCGCGTTCTACCTTGCCAACAGCGCAGGGGGTTAGTTTTGACCAGACCGCTTCGTGTAGAAAACAAGCTTCCAGCCTGCTTTGCACTTGTGACCGCTCCACCCCAGACTTCTCACGTAGAGCGTCTGTTGTCTTTTGCTTGTGCAATATTTCGGGCTTCCACCGTCTGTGTCCGCGTCTGTCTCACGTAGACCGTCCGTTGTCTTTGGCGTCCGCGTCCGTCTCACGTGCACTGCCCGTTGTCTTCAGTCGGCTTTGTCTGTCCTCTGCTGCATGGTGGGTGGTGGTGCTCGGTCGGTGGCACAGCCTGGCAGACACGTGTGTGCGCGCGCAGCTCTTGACTTCTGCAGTTGCAAGGTGGCTCAGACACAGGCTATCCGACTTACCACGCATGCCCTTCCGCCATTTCACTGACCGGGAACTCGAGCTGGTTCGCGCTTGGAAGCTTGAAGGGCGGCGCCCTGCCGAGATTGCGGAGCTGCTGGGACGGCACATTTCCACGATCGTCCGGCACTTCCAGCGGCTGTCCCGGGGCCGGGCTGCCAAGCGGCAGCCCACAGGACGACCGCCCAGCCTGACTCAGCGCCAAGTCGACCAAGTTGTGAGCACAACCCAGCGGCTTGTGAAAGAAGCCAAAGCTCAGTGGCAGGTCACGGCTGCCATGGTGCGACAGGCGCTGCGTCTGAAATGCTCTGTCAAGACCATCCGCAAAGTTCTGCATGAGCGCGGGATCACCTTTCGACCAATGCGCCAGAAGCCGCTGCGCACTACGGCTGATGAGCACACCCGACTGGAGTGGGGGAAGAAATACGCCCCAAAAAGGGCATCCTTCTGGTCTGAGAGGGTGCACGCCTACCTGGACAACAAGTTCTTCCCCGTCTACCCGAACCACAAGGCAAGGTGCTACGCTGCCAAGCGCGCCACTGGTACCTACCGAGCAAGGGGCGAGGGCTTGGGCGAGGGGCATGTTCGACCACGCAAGACCTTGAAAGTGTCTTGGGGGAAGAGTGTCAACGTGGCGGTGGCCCTGAGTGCCCAGAAGGTTCTGATGTGCCACGTGGTGGAAGGCCACTGGAATGCAGCGGAGGCCTGCCGCATGTATGCACGGAGCCTGGGCCCTGCCCTGCGACGCGCAAGCCCCGAGCTCGACCGGTTTGTGGTGCTGGAGGACAACGATCCCAGCGGCTACAAGAGCCGGGCGGCCAGGGACACAAAGGTGGAGCAGCGGATCAACGTGCTGGAGATCCCAAAGCGCTCGCCTGACGTCAACCCACTCGACTACGGCTTCTGGGCCCACGTCAATGAGCGGCTGCGCGTGCAGGAGAGCCGCTTCGGCGTCAATTTTCGTGAATCCAGAGACCACTTTGTGCGCCGCCTCAGGCGCACGATCCTGCGCACCCACCCGGCCTTCCTGCGCTCATTGGTGACATCCATGAAGCGGCGAGCAGTGGCCTTGGTGGCCGCCAAAGGGCGGGACTTTGAGGAGTGATACAGCGAAGCCTGCGTCCAAAAATCTCGAGCTCCGACACGTGCATGCAGCTTGTAAGGCTTTGGAAAGACTTGCCTGTGCAAATTGCAAGGGTTAAGGCTTTAGAAAGACTCGCCTGTGCAAATTGCAAGGGTTTGGAGACGCAAAGCGCCAGAAATGTGAAACTCGTGCAACTTGTTCAGCACTTGTCCTGAAACTCGTTGGTATTTGCGTGAAACTCGTGAAACTCGTGAAATCTAGAAGAAAAAAAAGGCTTACTTATTTTTCTTCTAAGTTTCACAAGTTTCACGAGTTTCACGCAAATACCAACGAGTTTCAGGACGAGTTCTGGCCATGCTTCACGAGTTTCACATGTTTCGGGTCTTGGTGCGGAGGTTGTGCGGTACGGTGTGTCGTCTGTTTGCTGCTGTCTTGTCTCACATGCCCGTTCCGCTGTAGCCGTCACCGTAGCCAAGCCGGTCTAGATCTTCGTCCCCAAAACTACTCCTGCCATGGGGTCTGCGGAGGAGGAGGAGTTTTTGGAGGTGCTGCGGGAGTGGGACAACGCAGTCGCGCCATGCCCGCAAGGCGTGGTTCCAGGGGTTGGCCCTGCGCAGCCTGCGGGCGTGGCGCTGCCAGTGGCAGCCGCTGCTGCCGAACTTGGCGAGGCAGCTCGGGGCCGACGCCTCACAGGGAAACAGCCGAACCCCGCAGTCAACCAGAACGCTGCTTCGAGTGCAATCCTTGCTGAGAGACTGGCGGACTGCACGGCCTTGTCGGTGGATGTGCAGAGGAAGCACATGCACTACACGCACGTCCGCACCACGTCGGCGGGCGACCGGCAGCCTTCCACCTTCACCCGGGCTGGGTTCTGGGAGCACATCCTCCAAGTCTACCGAGAAGCATACCCAGACGCTGCCAACCCCACGGGCTCCATCGTGCAGTTTGGGGCAGTGGCGAAGGAGCGGCATGCGGCCTCGCAGGATGGTTTGCGGGACGAGCACCATCATTGCCCAGTGTACTGCAGCAAGCGGCACTACTGGAAGCGTGTGGCTGACATCTCCTACCAGAAGTACAAGGTGAAGCTCCACGCGGCCACGCACGACGGGTACTACACCATGTATTCTTACATCACCGCCCCGACTACGAAGAAGCCCTTGGCTGAATTGGACGCGGAGGCGCGGAATCTAGACAAACAACCGAACCTGTTTTGTCAAACCTCCCTGTCAGGTGTTCTTGTCGGTGGACCACCCGCGTGGAGACGCCCTGCGGCAGTTGCTGGAAGCAGGCGCCATTGCTGCCCGTGCCTTGAATGGACGTCAACACAAGCAACAAGCTGAAGAAGCTCCGCAACGTGCGCCGCAGAAGCGCTTCCGCTCCGGGGACATCTTCACCCTCATGGAGGAGCACAACTTGCAGAATGTCCTGGACTTGCAAGGGCTGGCCAACTCCTTGGCCCAGCAAGGCAACCCTCGCTTGGCGCAGTTCTGCACAAGCATGGGTGAGGACCGCTTGGGTCAGCTGCTCAATGCAGCACGTGGTGTCATGGAAGCACCCACGCGTGTGGCCATGCGCCAGCACTCCCGTTTGGACACCTTGCGGGACGCAGCCATGACTAGTCCTTGCACCTGCAGCGGCGTGTGGGCTCCAGCTGCTCTTCGCACCTTGACCAACAACCAAGAGGATGTGCGCAGGTTCTGCCAAGACGTCTGCCGCGCCCTGCAGTTGGGAGCTCGGCGGGGCGTCAACCTCGCAATTGTCGGCGTCCCAGGCAGCGGCAAAAGCATGCTCCTTGAGCCCTTGGACGGCATCTTTCAGGTCATGGGGAAACCTGAAGCCCGGAGCTCCTTCCCTTTGGCCGGTGCTTTGGATGCGCAGGTGTTGCTGTGGCAAGACTACAAGCACCAGGATCAGACTGTGCTTTTTGAGGACTTGCTCTCCCTCACCGTGGGGGAAATGATCTCAGTCCGAGTGCCACACCAAAAGAACCAGACCTTCCGCAACGTCGCGCCCCTCTTCTACACCTCCAACTTCCCGCTGCAGGTGCGCCGGCCTGACTTGGAGGAGGCCACGCGCTTGAACCAAGCCATGGCCGAGCGCTTCTGCACGCGTCAGTGGAAGATGCCGTTGCCAGAAGCCGAGCGGATCCCGGACCTGCCTCGATGCTCACGGTGCTGCGCCGCGTTCTACCTTGCCAACAGCGCAGGGGGTTAGTTTTGACCAGACCGCTTCGTGTAGAAAACAAGCTTCCAGCCTGCTTTGCACTTGTGACCGCTCCACCCCAGACTGTGGAAGCCCTAAATATTGCAAGTACCACCACATGGGATGTTAACACCACTTCCATGGCATCGCCCGCTGCGTGCGGACCCCGCACCCCCAGGTACAATGTTGAAGCCAAGTGCGTAGCCCCTCTTCCGAGGCCCAATATATTGCAAGTTCAACATTGAGTCAGGGGAGGGGGGGCCGCAGATGTCATGTTGCTGTGCTTCCTGTTGTGACAGGTGCCATTATTTCTTTGCTCCGCACTTGCAATATTTAGGGCTTCAACCGTATCTTTTAAGGGGAATTTCCGGGAGCCCCGTTGAGGCGTTTCCTTTAAGGAGGCGATCCACTTCCCTCGCTGCCGCTCCGCCGCTCTGCCGCTCCGGTCGCAGGCGAGGCCTTTCGGTCGCCCTGTCTGCAGCACGAGGCGAGGCTGGCGCTGGAGAAGGCCGTGGCGTGGTGGGGCCCGGCGGCCTATAGAGACCGAGGGCAGGCACTCTGCGACCGATTTTTTCTTTTTTCGCGTCACGAAAGGTGGGTTAGCCCCTCTTTTTTGTGGGTGGTTGAAAGGGAAACCAAAAGGAAACCACCATTTCGAGGGGGGGGGTCCCCTAAAAAAGACACACCCAGGTAGACTTAAGCTCAGGGTGCTTGATTCTTCCGCTTTGGCGAGTGGCGAATGAGGGATCCAAGATGATCAAGTACAACCTATTTGAGTGCTTAAAAAGCGAACCAGAGGCAGAGTATACACGTATCTAAGAACCATGAGATCCGTTGTTGGCTCTGCTTTGGCTGGTCGTTCGTTGACTAAAGTGATCAACACCCCCGGCATCACCAGCAGGGGGACCCAAAATGGGTGGATGTTGATTTTTCTTCAAACCCTAGCTCATACACGTTTAGAGCCATTACAGGCGGGGAACGAATTGCATGTTCCGAGGCGAGCGACTGCAAGTGGGCTCGCTAGCGGCCACAGCCTTGCTGACAGATGGAAGGCGAAGGGAACCTGGAGCGCTTCTGAGCAACGGGAGTGTTGGTGGAACGCTTGTTCTAGCCCCACCCCCCCATCCATAGGGAGGGCCGGCTCCACATTCTTTTGGCCCCCTTTCTATAAATGCCCCATGGTTTCCTTTTGGTGGGTAAATGGGACATCAGGTACAAGGGGGCCCTTCATGAGGTAATCGTTGGATGGGGAAAAGGGGAAGCAACGGAAAACCGATATTTGTCCAAGAACCTTCCAACATAGCTTTTGAGCATACCCCAAGCCTTCCGCAACGATTCTGCCGGGAATGCTCGCAAGGCTTGAGAAGAGGGCTACGGATTTTGTTGAAATCTTCGTATCAGGGCCTTACCCCTTTTCATAGGATACCCACTCCCACCCTCCCCCAATTCCCCAATCCCCCCCTGCAGTTTCCTCCAAATACCACCTCAATGTGGCCCGAGGTGGGTCATGTTTTCAGGAAGCAGGTGGAAGTTACTCAGGAAAGTGCGCACTTCGGATCTGATGTTCTTTCCAGTTGGAATTTCACACACCGGTTCGGGAGGTCTTCCTTCATTTCCGGCGTGTGAATGATTCTAGGTGTCTTCCGTAATTCCGGTGTGAATTACTGTGAAGCATAGAATGTGAATTTGCTCAGGTGCATGATACGATGTAGTGCTGTCAACGACACATCACCATCCGGTTTTAGCCTGAAAGCCGAATCCAGGTCTGGGAATTCAAGTAATTTGCCTAGGTTGTTCAGTAGTGCCCTTTCACCCTTTCTTGGGGGAGGGTGCCCCTACTAGAATAGACTACAGAAAAAAGGGTACCCTTATTCCAACCTCTCCACTGGAGGACCTAGTTGCGCATGTTGCTGTTTCGTCGTGCAGGCTGCCCTTATCAAGCATGGGGGAGCTGGAGCTTGAGGTTTGCACGGAAGGAACAGGCGCGAGAGCCCGTCCGTTCTGTTCGGCTCATAATCCCATGATGAACCTGGGTTGCATCCACGTCTGGGGGTGAAAACCCATTTGTGGCGCCCTGTCTTGACACATACACATATGTGGTTTTCTAGGCCGTCTATTTGGAAAAGAAGGGCTCTTTGTACACTTGTTTGTTGATGCCAAGTAGTATCATTGCTTGTTTTTGCAGGTCAGATCAGATCAGGCATTGCGGCAGTTCGAAAGCATACGGTGGTTCGATGTTTTTTCTTCGAATAGTAAACTATAAGCTACCTAAACGTGGACATTTGCGCGAAACAACATACATGCCAACAGGCAGAAGTTGTGGGGCTGCGATGCATCCACGTAATGTGTCAAACGTGTGTGTGTGTGTGTGTGTGTGTGTGTGTGTGTGTGTGTGTGTGTGTGTGTGTGTGTGTGTGTGTGTGTGTGTGTGTGTGTGTGTGTGTGTGCGTGTGTGAAACGAACATGTTTTGATTGGAAAGGCAGTGTGTGGCCCATTGTGTTGGGATTCTGAGCGCCTTGAAAGGTGAGGAATCATACGTATCCTGTTTAGTTTGGTTGAACATGGCACTGGTACATGATCAGAACAAGCAGGCCGCAGGCCCCCGCTTCTTTTTCTGTCCTTTGGTAGGAAGCACGCCCTTCGATCGCTGAGCCAGGTTTGTGTGACGTGGCCTATGGCCAGGACATCCCCCCGCAGCTGGTGGTGGACGCGGAGCCTGCGGCATTCATGTGATGCACTAGTGTTTATGCTTGCTCTTGCGATTGCGGTTGTGGTTGTTGTTCTTGTTGTTGTGGTGGTCGTCGTCGTCGTCGCCGTCGTTGTGGTTGTTGCTCTTGCTGTTGCTGTTTATGTTGCAGTTGCTGTTTATGTTGCTGTTGCTGTTGCTGGTGGTGGTGCTGGCTGTGTGGCTTAAAGATACAACAACTTGACTGTCACTTCAGCCAGGAGCCCCACGTCTGCGCCTTCCGCTCTGGGCGGGCGCCGGAGGTGGTGCTGTTGAGGGTGCGCAGCCGCTGCCAGGCGAGCGCGTGGGGTGGCGTTTTTTGTTTGGGGGGGGGGAGTGGTGCTTGTTGGGGGTCAGGTTCTGAAAAGTCGGCGCTTCTGATTTGTGCCTTAGGTGTTTAGATCTTTGTTGTTATTTGGGAACGGATCTTTGGACTTCAACTTGTTGGTTGAAACAGAGGGGTTTCCGAATTTGACCAGAGGGGTCAACAGCAACCAAGAGGTAGTTTGACTTGAATCAAGGGATCAAGGTGCCTGAGACGAGGTTTTCCCAGCAACCAACAGATGGCTTCGCTTAGGGGAAGAAATGCTCGGGTGCTGTTGGTGCCATGCCGATTGGGTCCCCATAATGTTGAGAAGGGAAACCAGGAGCAGTGTCCAAAGTCTTTTTTTGAGGGTACCCCTTTTGGTTGGGCTTTTTAAAGGGAAGCCAAAAGGAAACCAACCATTTTGGGGTCCCCTAAAAACAGGCATACCCAAATTGAGATCCGTTTGAAGACCTGAATCATCAAGCGCAGTTCGAAGAAAGTTTCTGCACGTTCCATAGTCAAAACACCCTTTCACTTGCGGTTGGCATGGATGGTATTGGATGGTCATGACCCCTTGGATAATTGGACCGTCATGATGATGTTTCCTCCGAACTCACCAATTCCCAGCTGTTCACCTGTTCAGGCACCCCTAAAGCAGAGCAACTTTAAAGGGGGGTCCACGGGGGTCCCCTTGGGTGTCCAAATAAGTTTGAGCTGTTTCCCAGGGGTTCTAGGCTATAGCAGGAACAATGGCCATGTCCATAGGAGGTTTGACCATTGGCTCACTCGCAGGACCCATCACTGGAGACGCGACTCTATGGCCAACGTCTGCCTCTGGTGCTTCCGCGGCCAGGCGAGTCGAGCCGAGTCGGTGCACGCGGCGCGTTTTCAGTTCATGGAGCAGAACCTATGGCTCCATTTTGGGGTGGATGAACATCCATTTGCCACCTATTTTGATGTTTACCAGGGGTACAGGGTTTTGACCCACAGCCAAGGGGTTGGGGAGGTTTCAAAGCGAAGACAGCCCAGTTGCCCAGTGGATTCCGCCCTTCTTTCCCTCTTTTTTTGGTGGGAAGGGTTCACCTTTCAACTCAACCAACCACAAAATGATGCCGATTCCCATGGCCACAGGGCATTTTTTCCGGGCATCTGAGACGAAGTTGAAGTCTCGAAAGTTTTGGCCGGTTGGACACTTTCGGACGCGACCGTTTGGATGTAAGCACCTGGCAGGCAGCTTGGTAGTAGCCTACTTACTAACTAGGTGGGCTGAACATCCAAGTACCCCTTCATATCACTTCTCACTATCAGGGGCCTATTCTTGTGTTGTTCGAATCAGTTGACTGTTGACATGATTGTTTTCATACAACTAGTTGTGTACATTTATTGTCGGCGCTCTCTCAACTGTTTGCTTTGCAGATGTGAGCGCTTGGGTTGGTGTATCATGCAAAACCTTGCACTGAGAACGTGCCAAGAACGTCACCCCATCCCCCAAACAGCGAGAGGTAGGTAAGAGTATGTCCGGGGACTTTCCCGCGTGCTTTGTGCTTGTCCTGTTTGAGCGGGGTTGTCAGAATCGCGAGCCCTGGACCCCACTCAGTTGGGAATCATCGGGGTTTGGGAAGGAACCTAAGATCCCCTCGAAGGAAGCCACAAGGGATGGTACTAGGAGTCATTTCCGGGGTCACTCTCTCATTCCGCGCTGAGCAACCAACAACATGGCACCGCGGAGTTGGTTTTTTCCGCATGTCCGATAAGAAGACCATTAGGACAACTCACCGACCGTGCTGTTGTCATGTCCATGTCAGCGCAAACCGGTCCCCAGGCCCATGTTAGGTTCTAACAATGACCCGGTTTTATCAGGAGTTAAATGGGTTTGTCTCAAAGTAGGCCCAAAACTCCCTTTCGCCTTTTAAATCAACCAAACGGGGGTCATCCAAAAAAGACACTCACATCCGTAGTACACTCCCTCGTAACATGGAAGCTCCCAGAAGGCCTCAAATGGGTCACCAAGTCTTTCATTTCGGGGTCCTAGGGAGCTTCCATGGAATCGCCTGGAGGGTATAAGCTTTTTCGTTTCACTGGGCCGCGCCTTCCTTGGAAACCCGTTGGATTGATGTGGATTGATGTGGATTGATGGTAAAAACCTTTACCGTCATGTTATTAACCCATCCATGAAACCAAACGCTGCATGAGCAGGATTGGGAGGCCCGGAGCCGGAGGCGGCTCAAGACGCCCACGTGCTGCGCTTGGAACACTTCGGGAGGGCCTCCATGTGTATGTGTGTGTGGGTGTTTTTTTGAAAGCCCTTTTCTGGTTGCTTTGAGAAGGAAGCGAAAGGGAAAGCCCACCATTTGTCGGATGGCATATTTTAGGATACCCACGTGTTATATGTTGGGGTAGATTCTATTTTGGAAAAGCCTGTGAACATATTATGTGGAACCCAGATGTTCAAGAAAATGGTGTTGCCGAAATTGAATAAATTCTTTAGGAACAACTGTTGCGGCTAAACTTGTCAAATCCCAGTCGGAGCCAGCATAGCTGAAGACAGACCCTTCCCTTTTGTCTGGTGGGTTTGCACAAATCAATTCCCAAACTAGTCTAGTTTTCGGGAGGGAATGAGGAATGACTCCGAGTTGAACCAAACTGGCGGTTTTCTGCAAGGGGATCCCACAAAGTTCATTGCCAAACTCCGTGGAACGATGTCCTCAGCAGCACGCTTGATTGTAACCCTGGCAAAATGCGGCAGAGGTCGGTGGACAGCTATGAGTATAACTTGCTGCAAAAATAACTTACTATGGGTGTAACTTGCCTGTATGGATCTGTTTGTTTTTTTGGGGCACCCCCCAACATGGATCCGGTTTCCCTTTTGATGCTTTCCCGGTAAACCCACAAAAAAAGGTGCCTTCAAAAAAAGACACACCCACATGGTTACAACTAGCTGTGTTTTATAGCTATGGCGAACGGCAGAGGTCGGTGGCCCCCAAAGTTGGTTCCCTTTTGGGCGCAAAAGGCGTCCGCTTGGCTGCGCGCGGGTTTTGAGTTGCCTTGTTTCTAAGAACCCCCAAATCACTACCCCCAGAAATCTAGGGATATACAACCGCTATAAAGTCGCTATGTACCCAAAATTCCTTTGGTTTTGAGGGTAGTGGAAACCATGTAAGATTGTTGGGCTTAGTTCAAAGGGAAGCCCGAAACTGAACTCCAGGGGTCCAAATCCCTTGACACCTGCGATACGCGGGCCGCCATGATCCGCAGTGGGACCCATGTCGGGAAATCGGAGCTTGGAGTAGAGCAGAAAATGCCGAAGCACGGCTTGGTGGTTCTTATGGCTCAACCTTCAACCTCAGCTAGAGGTGGTTTGCTTCTTCAACTTGCGGTGTACATCACATGGGTCCTCTTCTCTCGGTCAGTTACGAGCTGTGCCGCGGGCTTAAGGGGCAAACATGGGTCGACTCTTTGGGGGGGCGAGGTCAAGAATGGGTTGGTCGAAGAGAGGAACAATGCGGTTGGTCGAAGGATCAAACATGGGTGTGTCAAACATGGGTTTGTCGCAGGGTGGTTTCCCTGTAGTTTCCCTTTAAGCCAAATGGTCCTTCTTAGCAAGGAAACCCCAGTTGTGTTCCCTGTGGCTTCCTCTTTCAGCTCAAAACACAGACACTACCACGGCACTAGCGTCTCTTGCACCCCTAGTCTCATCCCCCTCTCACTCATCTCCCTCTCTCACTCCGCTCTCACCGCCAAGCAAGCTCCTCTCACCCCCCATTCCCGATTCCCCTATCCCCTTTATCTCCTTCCTCACTCCCTCACATCCAATTATCCAAATCTTAGCAATCCCTGCCTACTAGGTGCTGCCTCAGGACGCATGTTTCATGTGACTGGGGATCCGTCTCATCGTGGGGTTGTCGTTGTCTTTCAAAAAAGGCAACACGAGCTCCAACTTGAGATGCCCCACAAAGGGTTGGCTCTGAGGTTAATGCGCCACCCATTCCTTGGCTTCCAATTTGTTGGACAACAAAACTAACCAGAGATAACTCTTTGATGCATGTTGCTTGGATGTTAGGACTTTAACGTTTTGCCAACTAATGGGTGTTCCGTTAAACCACTAAAAGTTGTTGTTTTAGCAGGGGAGCAGAAAGCAACCAAGTAATAGTTGTCTCAACATCCTAGGAGTGAGTTTCACTAGATCGACTACTGGTAGGGCGATATTTCAAGTCTCTAGAACAATCCGAGAGAAGGGCATTTCGCAGCTGATGCCAAAACGCCCGGCCTAAAGAATTGCCAATTGCTAACATGTTGCTCCTATGACAATGGCTGGACTTGTCTTACCCCGCCTTATCCCAAGAGTCTGGGCGGACAAACATACCGTGAAGGTTTCTCGGGAACCCCTTGTTTCAGTGTACTATATCATCATAGCCCGACTTTGTTTTCTCTAGAAAAGATGTAGTAAGTCATCATAGCCCCTGAAATGTTGTTTCCTCTAGAAGGGACGGTTCTGTGGGTTGCATATTAGTCTGGGATGTCCCCCTTGCGGCAGCCACAGCATCCAATCTCTTCCGTGGCTTCGTGACTGGTTGTTCTAGGGGTACCTTCCCTATTCTTTCCAGAGATCCGAATCTTTCTAGAACACCTCCGGAAACAAGGGGAAAATAGCTGGTTTTTGAAAAAATGATGGTTGAAAAGAATGGGCAAGGAATCAAGCAATAGAATTATGTTCAGCCCAACTGACCTCCCCAAAAAAGGCACCTTAGAGTTCTGCCGCCTTCTTTTTGGGAATCAAGCCCTAGAGAACCCCATCAAGCTCTAGAGACAAGGAATCAACCCCTAGATTTATTTCGTTGGTTTAGAGGTTAGAATTCCTTTTAACCCGCTAAAAGTCAACCTCCCGAAGCTTCCCAGGTGCTCAGCTGCGGTCCCACACCTGTCGCATTGAAGGCGGATGCATGGGTACACAAACAAACCTTAACGAAACTTGCTGGTGCGATACGCAGGGAATGAAAACTGGAATGACCCTTATAAACCATCCAACTGGAGGTTTCCCTTAAGGGGACCGCTGGGTTCATTCAACCACATTCCCTACCTATCACACCAGCAAGGTGAGCATGTCGAGGGGGTGGCAAATGAATGTACCCAGTACAAAGGGACCTTAGGTGACATATCACAAACAGTTCACCAGATACGCACCGGAATTAAAACATGGTGTTGTTTGTTCAAACGGATGTGGGTACGATGTTTCTTCGTAAGCTTGCTTTACATTGCTTGTTCTTTTCAGCTGTGCTGACTTCAATTTTGTCAACAGGCATCCTGATCAGAAGCCATTCCCTTTCCACCAGCAAAGTCCATTTTGTGCTCTCGGATTGGTCCGACCCAGAAATAATGCGGCTTCTGATTGGCATGCTGCGCGGTCCTGCCAAAGGATGGAGAGACTCTGGGCTAACCGGCTCAGCCCAAAGGGGCGATTTCTGAGGGGCTTTGGGGTAGACATGTCCTTAGATTCTTTTGCAGATTGCCAAAACAAACAAACTCGAACCCCCCCACCATTGGGAAACGGCCTAAGGAAGGGTTCTGGCCAGGTTGGCTTAGACCCCGCCCCCACCTCCCCCCCAACCCCAGCTTCGAACATAAGTCACGGCAGGTGGCCTTGGTAGAAGCCAGGGGTCTTGTGAGAGCCATCGGCATGTCGGATCTTCGCACATTTCTCGGAACTGTGCACAACCCGAAAGGGCGAAAACAAGGTCCTCCAGTAGCGCCCTTTCACCCTTTCTTGGGGGAGGGTTCCCCTACTGAACTAGTTTACAGAAAATAGGGTACCCTTATTGTAACCTCTCTACTGTAGGACCTAGAAAAGGTGTGATTAACTTAAGACCAACACCCTTGCGTGGTAAACATATCTGGGGGTACTGCTTGTTGGTCTGTTTTAAAGGGAAGAACTTGTTGGTGGAAACAGTTCGGATTTTCCGAATTGGTCCCACAAGAAGTGTTCAACTTTTTGCGGAGGGGTCACAAGCAACCAAGTTAACTGCTTTGTGCTAGTGGTCCTGAACAAAAGATTATCGGCTGCAAAACACCGTTCGCTATCTTGCGCATTGAGGAGTGAACCAGCCGTGGGTTGAACATGTTTGTATTGTTTCTGCCTCTCAGCAAACCCTTTTGAAACAGGTCTTGGTCCCCATAGACACGGTGTGAGTAGGGCCGAATGACACCAAATGTCCATACGCCCAGAATGAAGGATCTACACGAATGCAACACCAGTTCAATCAAACCGACTGGTGTACATAAAGTATTCGAGAGCATCCAAAGTATCGAACACCTATTTAAACAACTATCCAACCATATCCAAAACTAAAAATATCGAAGCATATCCAGGAAATCCACCATCGTCCAATGATATCCAAAAGCATCCAAACATATCCAAAGATCGCCAGTAGTATCGGAACACGTGGCAGTTGCGAAATCCATTTCGTACCACGAAATGAAACCATGGTTGACACCACGGTTTGTTGAGGTATGTACACATCCAAACATATCCAAAAGCATCCAAACATATCCAAAGATGCCCAATAGTATTGGAACACATCCAAACATACCCAAAAACGAATCATATCTTGTATAAACTCCCCGAAGGTATCAGAGGTGCCTTTTGGTTGGATGTTAGGACTTCAGCTTTTTGCCAACCAATGGGTTTTCCGCTAAACCACTAAAAGTTAAGCTTTTAGCAGGGGAGCAGAAAGCAACTGAGGTATGCAAACATGACCCCTTCGATCCTAGAAGTCTTAAGTTTCGGCTAGGCTTGGAAGCTCCACCAAGGCCACCGCCGTATTCGACAGTTTCGACGCGCCCTGAAGGTGGAAAATTCAGGAAAACCAGTGCAAACCAGTAAGAAAGGGTTAGGTCTTACAGTTGAAATCAACTTGTTTTTGGGTCTTTGGCCAATTTCCGACCTAATTTCCTTAGCTTCTTTTGGTTGCTAACTTGTTGGGTCGTTGGCCAATTTCCGGCAGAACTTCCTTCTGGTTTCCGTGATCCCTCCGAAACCGATCACGGCCGGAGTTGCTTCTGTTGGTTGCTGCGGTCACGCCCTGGGACCAGAGCAATTTGCACAAGAGACTGGACTGATACTTTTTCAAGTCTGGACCAGTTTGGTGTTCAACAAACAGTTCTTCTAGGGGTTGATTCCCCATTATTTTCACCCATCGTTCTTGCCAAAAACCGGCTGTTCTCCCTGGTTTCTGGAGGGTTTCTAGAAAGAAGGATCCCTGGAAAGAATGGGGAAAGTACCCCTAGAGTTCTGACTTGTTTTCGCGAATCCACCCAGGAGGTGAGAATCCAAAGCTGGGGATCTGCGAGATTTGTTGGCAGGGACAATTAAGGTCGAATGTGTGCGGATTAGAGACCCAAGAAGATCTTGTGACCTATCGGTTGAACCTAACCTGCGCTGGATTCCAAAGCTATTTTTTGTAGGGGCATGTTTCTCCAAATCTGGACATGTTGCATGACCAGTGACATGGCAAAGGACCTTTTTCCAATGGAGCTAGAAACCTACGGGACTGGCCTTTTTGGCCTCCGACCTGCTTAACTTTTTAGTAAAGCTGGGAACGATGATTTCTATGGTCCTCAAATACATGTATACTTTAAGGACCCTGAGAAAGACGGTGTAGGGGGCCAAACAGCGAATCAGCTCTAATGTGTCAAGCAATTGGAGGGAGGAGAACAGGTTTGTTTCCTTTCGAGCTTGGCTCCTTGAGAGGGAGGGGGATTCCTTCAGGTGATGACTTCATGCTGGGCTCATCAACTTGTTTCTTCGATTTGGGGTAGGTAGTTGGTTTCAAGGGAAACCCAAATGAACCCGAGCCTACCAATTGAACACACATATTTGCCCCTTCTTGGAAGCATGAGCTTGACGCAGAATGGGGTGTGTGACCATGTGTGTTTAAGTCAACTTGGGTTCCGCACAAGCCACGATTTGTTTCTCGGTCTTACTGTTGCTTCCATGTCTGGCAAAGGGTCACCGTTCTTTTTTGGTTGACCGTGGCTCATGTGTATTACGTATGTACATACTTATATCCACGACTCTCTAGACATAATTATGCTTGGAAGGATCAAAGCTTGCAACATGACTCCTGGCCAGCGAAACAGCGGATTCTCCTCAAAGTTTCAGTGGGACATATGATGACCCGTGACCCTTTCAAACGGCTCCTGTTGGGAAGGAAAGGGGCGCCAGTTACTATGTTCGGTAGCTAGCAGCGAGAACATGCAACCTGAAGCTACTATTCTTACTTCCTGATCTCCTTTTGAGCTGCTTTATTCTTGCACGTTTATTCTTGGACGTTTTACTCACTAAATGAGTGTCTGGTTGTTGTCTTTTGTTTTGTCATTCAAGAAGTTCAGGACTGTGGCCACTCCTCGGGAGGTGAACTCATTAGAACATGTTCGGCTTCAAGCAACACGACGAAGCATTAAAGCAGACATGCTGTGGATGGACGAAATCCATTTCGCACAGCTTTGAACCCATGAGAAACAACTTGTTGGCTGGTATTTACAAGGGGATCTATCATTCCAGGGTTTCTTAGGTGGTGCAGGATTTCGTCCATCCACAGTACTTCTGGTTGGCGATTCAAATGAACTGTATGGTACTGTATGGCGTTGATGTGTGAAAGCATGGCAAACGCGTGTTCAAATGTGCGGCGCTTGGCAAATTTAAGGAGCGGTCTCTGCAGGACTCTTCCTGAACCCAACGGCAGAGAGACAAAACGTTGTTTCTGTAACTTCAAAGGCGATTGTGCGCTTCATGGATGGCCAAGTGTATGTGTCCCAAGTCGCGGCAGTGGTAAAGCAGAGATTTGGCCAAGTTATAGCGGCCCAAAATGCGGCGGCGTTCCTTTGGTTTCCTTGGAGAAAGCAACCCAACAAAGTGTGGTTTTCCTTTTGGTCTTGCGCTTCAAGAAATCGAAGAGGAGTACTAAGCCTTAATCAAAATGCGAGGAGAAGTCGGCGGCCTTGTTTCACGCGAGGCGAGGAGCTGGGTTGCCTCGACTTCCTCAAGAGGAGCCGCGCTGAAGGGTCGAAAGGTGAGCCCAAAATGGGTGCGTCTCTTTTGAGCGGACCCACAAAAATGGATGGTTGCCCTTCTAGGCGTTTGGCTCAGGCCTTCCCGCTGGCGCGCGCTGGCGCGTCTGTCTTCATCAGAGCCAACCGCGCCATGTCATTCCCTGCACACGTGACCCATGCATTGGACGCCTTGCCCTGCATCAAGGTACGCAACAAGTCCCCTGTTGGTTATTATGGGCCTGAAGCATACCTGCAGGACACTGGAAGGCCTTGATCCAGATGTGCCGGCAATCCTTCTGTCGCCGCTGACACACGGTTGGAGCGAGCGAAGTTCTGAGGCGAGGGGGTGCTTGTCGTGCTTGAGAGGGTGTGCTGCAATTTGTGGCGTTGTGGTTTTTGGCTACCCTTTGTTGGTTTAGTGGGGTTTCCACCCCGCCTTGAGGTGCTTGTGCTTCCTATTTGGCTGTGGCTCAAAAAACCGGTACCAAAATGGAATCCTGGTAAGTGGAAACATGGACCAAAACCTGCAGTTTGCTCTCCTGTTCAATTTTGAGCCACACCCATTTGCAGAGCCCAGCTCTTTTGTCCTGCCTAAACAGCCGACTTGTGTCGGACGCATTGTGGGCCTTCCACCCCCTCGGCTTAGATGCCGAAGCAAAATATGCTACGACGTGTCCTTTCGCTTCATCACCAATTAATTCTGGATCTATGGAGTCTGTGTCGAAGTCCCTTTGAAACATCATCTTTCTTGCGATATCGGGAGGGGGTTCAATTTAATTTCACATTTCGCCTTGTTGAAGACGCGCTTCGGGGTTGGCCTGTTAATTATACAATACGTTTCACCTGTTAAACGTTCAAATTGATAGAGTCAGGGCCACGTAGACATTTGAGTGGCCGCGAGGGATAGGGGCCATCCTAAACGAGTTAATATATCATGTTAAACCTCTTCCTTTGTTTAAGGGCAGGGTGATATGAAAGGACATAACGCCAATCACAACGTCGAGATCCCGCCAAAATGAAAAAATGCTTTTGGTTTTCAGTTTCCTTTACACCAACCAGAACAGGCTACCTCAACCAACACATACACACATTTGTATGTTCAATGTTCAACCCTATATAGCCTATAACCGATTACCATGGTTAAAAATTATATCTACGCACGCTTGTCTCATTTGCAACCCGCCTTTTTGCGCTAATCTCATGCAGGCACTGCAGGAGGCAGCGCGTTGGATCCAGCGGCCTGCTGCAGGCACAGAGAGAGACAGAGAGAGACAAAGAGAAACAGAGAGAGAGACAGAGAGAGAGAAAGAGACAGAGAGAGACAGAGAAAGACATTGGGATGGGCAGAACGAAGTGCTCATCCCACCCAAAACCGAGCCGACAATTGCAAAACAGCGGAGTTTCAGGATAAAACAAACATGCACGAGTTGGTTGTTCTGTGGGTTTCTTGCATTCTTTCATGTTCCCCTTCAACCAGCAAAAGTTAGCTTGTTGCGGAAGGTTTCAGTCCGGTGAAGAAGGCAATGTTAGTTTACAGTCCGAATCCAGATGTGGGTGGTTCTTCCTACGTGTTGATACCTTGCGCTTTGGTTCACCCAAAATAGCCTTTGCATTGTTTGGAAACCGAGCACAAGCTGTCAACCAGCAAGGGTTTAACTGACCGCAACATTGTAATAAAGAGGCCTTTCCCTCTTAGCAATGAGGGAATCAACCAATTGCCTGGAGGTGGACGGTTTGCCTTCCGAAATCTATCTAAACTACATTAAGCTAGACTATCAATATCCAATCGGTCTATCTATCCATCTACCTACCTACCTAGCTAGCTAGCTAGCTATCTATCTATCTATCTATCTATCTATCTATCTATCTATCTATCTATCTATCTATCTACTTGCCACCTTTCGCAGTTATTTATCTGCAGTGCTCCGGGGCTCCGTTTGGGCACCTTCTCAAGTTGGTTCAAAAGGGAAACCAAGAGGACAACTTCATGTTCGGGTCCCTCCAGGGCTTTGTGCCATTGCTAAGGTGGGTTAGGCATCTTTTCCGAATGCCACCTGAGAAGTTGGGACAAGGTTGCGCAAAGTGCCCTTCTGGTCTTGTTTTCAGCTCTGAGCCATTTGATGAAACGATACAGCACCCAAAAATTCGTGCCTTCTACTCCGTCCCGCGGCATTGTCGGAGCCATTTGGGGGGTTCTCAAAATATGAGTCCCCACAAAATGGATTGTTTCCTTTTGGCTTTCCTTTTCATATCAACTAAACGGGGTCAACCAACCCCAAAACGGAGCTTTGACTCGAGTGAGAGTCGTATTGGAGCTTGGTTCACTTCTTACAGCCCGTAGATCATGTGAGACACAAGCAAACATAGATGAAGGTTAGGCGGGACAGTCCCATCCGGAAATAGAAGCGGCTGCTCTTGTGCTTCTTTGCAGACGCCTGTGACTGTGATATCAGGTTTTAATGGTTTATGTCGTAGGGGGGGTTGCGGGATGCCATCCATTTTGGAAGGGAACAAGGAACCCCAACTTTGTTTGCTTCAATTTACCATGGTTTTTCGACGTGCATGTTTGGTTTACTTGCAATGGGTGCTAAATACCCCACAATTCACAATAGCTCACCCAAAGGGAAAACGAACACTGGGATTCGTTTTTTTGCCCTGGCCCCCTATCTAGGGATGATTAGGGTATCCACCATGGCTGTGGCCCACGGAGCACTGCTAGGCAAGGTCATCATTGGCTTCCCCCTTCTCACCACGGAAAACCTCTGGCAGTGGCGGGTGAGGCGCGAAAACGGCTTTGGCCCCGAACCCACGCGAATCGTTGGCTGACCGGTTGCCAAACATCCCCACTTTTTGGCTTCCCTTTGCTTGACTTTGGTTCTGTGTCAGTCTGTTTTATTCTTGACTTGGTTTCTGTGTGATAGGTGTCTAGTTTTTTTGATTTTTCTTGACTTGGTTTCTGTGTGATAGTGGCAAAACGGGGCCAACCTGAAGATTTTGCCCAGGCCCCTTTCCAGTCGCGGAGTGGCTACTCTCGCCAACAACCAAAAGATCGCTTGCCACTGCGGCCCTCGATGCCAGATGTTGATTGTTTTGCTGGTGCTCAGTGGGGAATGAGGGAATGATTCCTTTCAAGGAGTGTCCTTCCGGTTCAGTCCCAAAACCCATTCCCGACCTATCGCACGTGGCCAAGCTGCGCTTTCTGCGGTTGAGCTGGTGCGAATGAGGATTGCCTTTGCGCATAAGCTGAGGTTCATCGGACCATAGCATGCGATTTAGAAGATTTGGGCGTGGTTGTTGTTTGGGGTTGGTGTGTTCTATGAGGTCCATGAGGTCACAAGATATTTCATGTTTCCGCATATTTCGACTAGGGAGCAATATGCTATTTTGACTTGGGCCTAAAGCCAACGGAAGATGTATGTCGTATTCCTTTTCGTACAATATGTGTCGGTGTCCAGAGTCCAAAGCATGTTCTCGCACGCGGTCACAGGCAATCCTTAGTGGGGGGCTGGGCCAAGAGTTCCTGCAACAAAGACGCCAAGCCAGCAAGCTAGCGCAACACTGCGAGTTCAAATATCGCGAACCTCAGATCGGGAGCACAGGCGCCAGAGCCGAATGGTATGTGACCTTGTGTGTGCGTGTGTGGGTGTACTTGGTTTTCGGCAGGTTGGCTCAGATTTGGTTTGCCAGCCTCTAGTTTTTGGTTGGTTCGGGTGTCGTGCAGGGTTGGCTTGGGTAGCTTGAGTTCTTCAACCTGGTTGCACCCGCCTTTGGTGGGTCGCCCTTAGTTGGCGGTTTTGATGCGTGGTTTGGGGATTTGAATCTCTGGCTCTAGTTGAGGATCAAATGGGAAACCACTTAACCTTCAAACCACTTCCCCAACCCACCAATCAGAGGAAAACTGAGCTTTGGGGCTATGTGCTAAGTATTCTGGTAGCCAAACTCGCTACCCGGCCATTTCTTTGAAGCGCCATTCCGCCATCCCGTTTGGGCTTGCAACCCACGGACTGAGTGAGCTTACCATCCGCAGTCTATGCAATCGATTTCTGCACCCAAACACTGCAAAGGGTTGAATCTACTATAGAGGGTACGTATATACCCTTTCCTGCTGAGTGGCTTTGGTGCAGTGCTTAGGTGCAAGCTGCAAACTTGCATGATGGGGCGGCTTGCTTCATCTTGGTACTTGATTTGGTGCGCCTTTCAGCGGTGGCATGTTGAAGGCACGAGGCAGAATTTTACCAATGCCCACCGACGCTACTTGAGCTTGCCCCCAAAAGCCAGCCCAGGAGTGCTCCTGCATACCCGGTGTCGCTTCGAAAGTTGGCTACCCCTGAACTAAGCCATACTCGAACGTTTGGCCAAGTTAGTAAACGGTCGGCCTGGGGTATAAGCTACTTCTGAGTGAGTTGGGGCGGTTGTAAGTAGGTAAAACCATGGCTACTAGCTACTGAACTTGGCCGAACATCCAAGTAAGCCGAAAGGAAGCTGGTCAATCAGTCGTTCACATGGCCAGCTTCAGACTGAAAACGTAAGAGGCAGTATTGTCCAATGCCAAGAGAACGCGTCAAAGGCATACTGTGGATGGACGAAATCCTGCACCTGAGATGATCACTCCCCTGTAAATACCAACAAACAGCGGCGTCCCGTGTAGCACAGGGTGTCGTTTCACTTCCACAAAACACCCAGAGGGTCCAAGTACCTTCTAAGGAGGTACTTAGACCCCTTTTTATCCCCCAAAAGCCATTGTCAGGAGGTACTTGGACCCTCTACACAGGCGCCTGCGGCCTTTGCCGCCCGTTTGCGAACAAATTTTGCCAGGCGCCTGCGGCACCAGTACTGGAAACTGGTCTTCTCGCCCGCGGAGCCTTGGCGCACTTAGCGGGGAGGTGTTTTTTTGTGGGCTAGCATGCGGCCCGTGGAGAGGTCAGCCTCAAGAGTGAACCGTTCGTTTCACAGAGACCACTTAAAGCTTTGTAGCTTTTAGAGGCCCAGAAGAACGCAACACATGTTACATCAAGTTCGAGACACGGAGTTTCTTTGGATACGTGGCGTGCCACCTGCCTTTCTTGAACATCGCGTGCCGTCAACTGAAGGTGCTTTCCTAGGTCCCCCAGTAGTGCCCTTTTACCCTTTTTTTGGGGAGGGTCCCCTACTAAAATAGACTACAGAAAAAATAGGGTACCCTTATGCTAACCTCTCTACTGGAGAACCTAGTTTCCGATGCCAGGGTTTGCGCTCACTGAGCTAGACAGCGTGGAGCCGAAGGCCCGAGCAATCCCCCATGCCTTCCATGCTGTGGATGGAAAAGCGAAATCCATTTCGCACCACTTGGAAACCACTTGAAACCATTGCTTATTGGTATTTACAGGGGATTCATCAGACACCAGGGTTTCGTAGGTGGTGCGAAATGGATTTCGTCCATCCACAATAGTTGTGTGCACGGATGGCCGGTGTTCAAGCATTGGCGGCCACCTTCACCGAATTTGACCAAACCTTTCACACCTCATTGCTTCTTTTGAAGGCATTTACCCCACAAGCAGGCAGATGAACTGCACATGCCAGGGCGCCTCCGTTCTGGCGGCACACACTACCGCAGCCGGCGTTTCCGCAATTGCTACAGTGCGCTTGTGCACGCATGCTGAACACTGCGGCCAGCGCGCAAGGTTTGTACGACATTTGGGCATATTGTTTCGCTGGCACATTCTTAAGCAAGACGACTGATAGTAAATGCCGTAAGCATTTGCTCCGGCCGAAGAAATTCGACATGGGGTTGCAAAGCCAAATTAAGCCATGTGTTTGGAGCAACATGTAGCGGAAGCCCAAAACACTTCGAACAACATTTGCCTTATTCTAGCATCACGCTAGGCTAGAGGTTTTGATAATGCGTTCCAGCAGTTTGCCACATGGCTGAGTGACCATGCATGTTTGCCTTTGCCGATTTGCGTGTTTCACGCACGATTTCATTATCATGGATGTTGCTAAAGGTATGCCCAAATGATGCCAAGTGCTGATGCAGGAACAAGGCCATTTGACTTCCATGCGAATTAGGGGTCGGAGTTTGGCCAAGTAAATTCTGGCCTTCCTTGGCAAGTCGAAGGAGAACAAATTCTGTTTTTTTTTCACCAAGCTTGCAAAGAGGGCGTGCGAGGTCACTCAACTTGGCGGTTCCCAGCCGTCCCTTTAGGTTTTTAAGTTTTCGGGGTTTGGCGGGTTCGCAAGTTAAACTGTTACTCGTAGCAGGAGATCGGTTTTGGACAGCCCAGTCACGAGAGTCTGTTCCTTTCATGGGGATCTCTTACACTCATACCCTTTCCCATGCCGCTTTCGTGTCTCTCAGCGGTCAGTTTTCCATGGAGCACCAGGATTCGGGACCCAAGAAGTCGACGTGCGCTGCTTGCAAACGTGGAAGTAGACAGCAGTGTTTGTTGAAAGACTATCCAGACTATCAAGACCTTCATGATATCAATTATTGCTTGACTGGCATCATCTTAAGAAGACCTCATCTCCTGATTGTTGGAAAAGGCACTTCTTCTCTTTTGTCAAACACATATTTCCGTGGCAGCCCCAGGTTTGAGTCTGAGGCTCGTTGCCCAAAAGCTATCCTGTTTGAACGATTATCCACTCAAAGTTGGCCCGGCATGGTAACTTCGGGGCGCCGCACTTGTCGCAGTGTCGGAAACGTCAGGGATTGAGCAACAATGAATATGAACAACTGACAAAAATGCTGGTTGTCTGTGGGATTGAGCAATAATTCATGTGAATAACTGACAAACATTTTGGTAGTTTGCTATTTTGGGGAAGACGATGGGTGCCTACCCAAAGTTCCTACGTCCTCATGGGGAAACAAGCAATGGAGCTCAGATACGGCTGTGCCTTCTGTCCTCAAGCGATTCAGTCAAGTCCATCATGTACCGCTGGGGGGGGATGTACCCCAATGAATGTAATTGAACGCACCAAGCATCCAAGGGGACCAAGCATGGTAGCCTTCCCCACATCTTTGCCACAATAGCGACAACCAAGACTTGAATCCGAGGCTTGTGGTATGGCAACAGCTCTGCGGATGTCGTCCAGAAAGTTTGCTCAGAAGCGTTATATTATGGTTGGACGGTTTTTGCACCAATGGTATATAAAGGTAACCATATGCTCGGCTGCATAGGAATTAAAACACCGGAGGGAGAGCTTTTTGCAGGGCTTCTGCGACCACAATGGCCGGTGGACCTTTGACCTTTGCTTAGGATTCCAAGCCCAACCCCTCTTTCCAATCACTGCCCCTGCTTTCCCAAAATACCCTCCAAATAGGGCATTAAAATCATTAAACAGGCCTTGTGTGCAGGATAAAGGGCTAGAGGTTCTATCTCGACCGGCGGCTCATGTGGCAAGCCGGCTGACCTGGGTCATGTGTCACCAGCGCACCTTCATGTTGTGAGCGCCCAACCTTCGCCCAGGAGGAGCTCTCGAATGTGCCAGGCGCGGGGGATCGGAGGGAACATGATAGCCATCCAAGAGGAATCTCTAGGCGGAATGTATAAGTCCACATATGAACCGGCGGAATGTATAAGTCCATGAACCCATGGCCATTGGGACCTGATTTCCTATGAAGCCATAGCTAGCAGTTTAGTTCACCCATACACTAGGGGTTCAGACCAGGGGCTTCATATAGCGTTGTATGTATTCAGCCTTTGAATCACCTGCCCCAACTTGTCATCTCGAATTTATGGCGGCGAAATCGGCTTAAGTTGCTTTCTTTTCCCCTTGCTGGATTTCAAGGGACATCTCCACATGGGAAGATGTCCTCTCATTTCTTGCCAGACGTATCCGCAAATGGTCAGGTAACCATTAGTTAGTGCTTTGGATTGGTGGTTTGGATTTGAACCCTGGTTCTAGAGGATTTGGGTTGGGAAGCCACCAACCACCAATCCACCAAACCACCAGTTGCTGGAGTGTTTTTCCTTTTTTTGCTGGCTTAGGGACACCTAAACATGGGAAGATGTTCTCTCATGTCCTTCCAGACAATCACCAACCCAAACCACCAATTGGAGGGACATCAGCCGTTCCGTATTGAGGCATATTGGTTTCCTGATCAGGTAACCTGTAGTTGGTGCTTTGCATTGGTGGGGACACTCATTTTGAGGGGCTCGGAATTAAGCCATGTTCGCGTTTTGCTGGGCCAGGTAGAAATGGACATGCACAAGAAGCTTGTTTTGGCCAGTTGCTGAAGTGTCGTTCCTTTTCCCCTGGCTTAGGAACACCAAAACAAATGGGTCCACTCTCCTATTTGCGAACCCCCCCAGAGTTGGTCTTTTGCTGGGTTGGAGGGACATCAGCCGTTTTGAGTTCCGCATTGACCCCATATTGTGCGTTTTGCTGGGCCAGGCTGAAACGGAGGCCACTGGGAGCCCGCAGGTCTGGGCCCTTGCGCCGTGGGCTTCGGCTCGGGCACCCGGGTCGCCAGCGCCGGCGTGCTGCGGGCCTTGCTGCCGGGGCGCTCGGAGCGCGGGGGAAACGCGGGGAAAACGCGGATCCACGTCTTCCATTGGCGTGTCTTGGTGGCTCCCAGCCATCCGGTTCCTGAGCTTTTTAGATCCTTTTAGTGTTTAGTGGTAGTTTCCTTTTAACCCACTAAAAGTTGTTCATTTTTAGCGGGGGATTTGAGGACAGCCCAGATGTCTTGGAGCCAGTCGGTCACCGCTCCGGCAGGGAAAGCTGAGAACCTGCCATTTGCTGAAATGAATATTTGTTAAAGTGTCCCCTGTCGGTTTCAAAGGGAATCGATGACTATACTGGAAATATGTCTTATTTTTTTCCAGGGGGCGAAAACGTAAATGGAAGAACTTGCGCCACGGCCTGAACACCGAAACCGAAACCGATTCGACTCAGCTCTTGTTCACGCTCGAAATCGGGGAAGGGGGGGGGGGGGGCAAATCAGAGCTCGCAATTTTGGGCAAATGAGCTCGCTCAAAACCGGTTCGGGTAGCTGAAGGTTAAGGGATAATCCCCTTGCCATAAGGAGGGTGCCTAAGAGAAGGTGATTCGGGGGACTCAGCTCGGTAAAGCTCGAAATTGGGGGAAACACACAGCTGGTTTGGGCAAGTGAGCCATCCCTTGCCATAAATGGGTGCGGATAGCCGCCTTGTTAATTTTTGAAGCATGACTCTGGGTAGACCATTTCAATACCAAGTTGTGATTATGATATATTATGATGCACATGGCTCGTGTATTTCGAGGGAACCCCTTTTTCGAGTGGGTAAAGGGAAGCCCAGGCGGGCCTTTTTTCTTTGCCTGTTCTTTTGCCATTGCAGGTGGTGGAGGCGGTCCTTTCTTCTTTGCTTGTTCTTTTGCCATTGCAGGTGGTGAAAGTGGTGTTTTCTTCTTTGCTTGTTCTTTTGCCATTGCAGGTGGTGGAGGCGGTCCTTTCTTATTTACTGATGCTTTTGCTACCGCAGGTCCAAAAAAGCACGTATTTGGAGTTTCTCCATTTGGAGGGCTGGCCCATGACTAAGTCATGTTTGATTCCCCCAAAAGCCAAAAGCGGATAGACGTGTCTGTTCCGGACCCATTCAACATCCAGTACCAACCGAGGCTACATGATGAGAATCATGTTCATGAGGTCCTCAAAATGTCGGTCAAGAGTACCCCACCCTATACATTTAGGTATAGCTCAGAGGGACAGACAAGCCGGGCCGGGATTGGGACAGAGGTGGGGGATCATTGGGAAAAATGTGGGGTTCACAACTAGGAAGGGGATTCTTCCGTCATGCCGGCTGTGATTGATGAAACATTGGCTTTGTAGGTATCCTCGCAGATTAAGTCCATGTCGGGCGGGAGTGCAGTTATCAGACTTATTGGACAATTATAACAACCTGGCAAAGGGCTTTGGGTTGAGCTGAAAACCCATGAGGCCCTTGTCGTTGGGTTCCATGTCTTATGTCAGGTTGGTGACTACTTTGATTCGCTCAGCATGGTGTTTGTAGCTGCTGGTGCTGTTAGTTGCCTTTTGTCTGGTGATGGTTGGTGCTGTTTGGTGTGTTTGGTGGTTCCTTTGTTTCTGCTGATTTTTTTGCAGTTGCAAAGGAGTTGTTCGGTAGTTGTTGATGGTTTGTTGGTAGTTGATGGTAGCGGTTTTGGTGTTCATCTTCCTTGGAAGCTTTTGGTTGGCAGCTGGAGCAACTAACAATTGTTTGGGAAAATGGTAGCGAGCTCGCAGAGGGTTTTGATTTGCGACCTAAAAACCCCAGGTGACCGATGTGTTTGTGAGGATCCATTACATTTTTCACCGGAGGAGGACGCCACTCGGAAGCATTCCCGTTATCATCCGTCACAATTCCGAAGCGAACATTGGCAGAGCCTCTAGGCACAGTTGGGCTAAAGTAGATGGCGCAAGTGAATCATGTTGGTTTAGTCACTGAGTTTGTTGCAAATGCTGTTGAGTCATCATGTTGGTGAGCAAAGTTCACCATGTTGGAGCAAAAGGAGTGCAAGGTCATGGAATTCCTCACGTGAGACTGGAAGATAATTCCGCTGCTTGGGCTTTCCATGGAAAAATATGTTTTGTCTTTTTGCATGTGGTTTTGGGTGCGAGGTGAATGGTTTGTGTCTTGACTCGTTTCAAAGGAGAGCTGCTTGCAAGTGGTGCAGAATCAGGTGTTGTTGTGCAGATGATCGATCCAAGTCAGCACCTTCCAAATTTGAGAAGCCTGGCAATGCATGCCTTTGACCGCCGTCCAGTGACTTCGAGGGCTGGAAACTATGCCATGCGAACCTGGATAGTCAACCCAGTAAGCAAGCGCAGCTCGGGTATTGTGTGTCAACCTTTGTTGCCTTTTGATAGCCCAGCATGTTGTTCATTCAAAAATCCTCCAGCCTTTGACAGCCGTCGCTGTGCAGATTCTGCTTTTCACATCAGGTCCAATGTGGAGGAAGATCCCGAGAACCGGGTGAACTGGCTGTTGGACCTGGATATTCAGATCCAGAACGCCGGCGTGCAGGTGCCAAGAGCTCAAGTTGCAATCGGATGACGGAGGTAGCTAAGCCCAAGCCTGCTTTCTGGAGGTCAAAAGCAGGTTTGGGGGTGAAAAAGGAGCTCAAAAGCGGGTTTTGCGGTGGCAAAACAGGCTGCAAGAATTGATCAAAACTGGGTTTGTGGCTGAAAACCAGGTGGCGAAACCAGATTTGGGGTACAGGGTCCCTTTCGACCAGTGCCACACAGTCCGATGCTTGTGGTTCGCTGGCAAGAAGCTTACTTTATTGACTCTGTTCGGAAGGCAGAGGGATGGGGGATGCTGGCGTTGAGGTTGAGATAGTCGACAGTGAGCAAGTGAGGAGTCGCAGATGTCTCATCATGTGTGCTTCCGATTTGATTGTAAGAGAGAGGCCATGTCATTTGCCTAAGAACATTTCGATTTTTCCCTTGTTGGTTTTAAAGGGAACCTATCACCACTGGACATATGTTTATCCTTTCCAGGGGGCGTAAGCAAATGTAAGAATTGGTAGCATCTTCAACCAGAAGAGGTTGGCCAAGTTGTTTCCACAGCCGTTCTCATCTGAAGTGCAGATGAAGCGGAACATGCTCAGCCAGTGATTCCCGCCACGACATCCCGGATTTCGGATTGGTGCAGCAGCCGTGGTCCCTGAAGTAGCCTCCTTTGAATCCAGTGGATATGCCGCAAGGGTCAAGGGTCAGTCTCGAGGGTTGATTGACATAGCGAATGAGGAGGGTCCAGTATGCGACCCCCGGGTTGATTCACTATTTGGACCGTGGCGTATGTGGTTTTATTCTCGGAAATGTAGTAGCTCATGGTGTTTGCGGTGAAGCAATGGAGGTGAATCTCCCAGACAATTCAAATCAAGATATATTGGTCATAGGCTGCACCACCCTTCCTTCTTTTCTACGACCTTGGTTGTTGCTCAAATAGGTGTCATCCGAGTCTGAGAAAAATGTGCTCACCCATCCCTACCCGCGAGAATGGAAAAGGTGGGAGGGGGGAGGGATGACCCCTGGAATGTCATTCATGCTTCCAGTTTTTCTTGTTGTGGACAACTACAAAAATGGAAAACGCGTCCTCCCTGGTCCTCCCGTTTGTTGGCAGTGCGGTTTATCCTTTCTTATTCAAAGGAATGTGTGGCATGGACCGCACAGACGGCCTCTTTTTGAATTTTTCGGCTCAACAGGATAGCGGTTTCAAGGGGAGATTGAAACCGGTCAGTCCTTGAGCACATCCAAGTCAAGAGTTTGCAGTGCTTAGAATGCGTATGGTTTTGCTATGTTTTTGCAAACAGGAGCAAGTCAAGTGTTCAAGAGCCCGAGCATCATGCCCTGCCTTAATGCGCTGAATACAGAGCTCCTCGTGCGGGTGCTGGATTTGGCATCAGATGTGTCGGTGCTGGAGCTTGAGGTCGCATCGCCAAGCTTGACGAGGGCAGTGGAGGAATGCAGGCGAGGCAGCCCACTTGGTGAAGGTGCTTGGCGACATCCACCTGGGAAATGGGAGGTCTGCGGACTCTGGAGATTTCTTTCCTTGGGCGACTTGAAGAAGATTCCATCCGTCACTCTCAGCTGCGAAGTAGAATTCCAGAATGTCACAGAGGCCCTTGCTTTCTTCAAGGCTGCGAAGCACCTTGCAGCTGACACCATCGATGGCCAGGTGACCTTCAACACATGTTCCTTCTCGGGCGAGGATGTAGCGGAGCTCTACACTGCAGTTGCAAATCCTGACGTGGACCACTTCGCCGGTGAGGCAGTCTGGTGTTCAGCAGTAGAAACATTTGCCATTGCTGCCCATGCGGACGACCGCTTCGAATTCCCTTGGCTGAACATCCACCTGGATTATTTGACGGAGGAAAAGTTGCCTAAGCGAACTGCACTAATCGTCAACAGCCTCCTGTTGCCAGGGCTGAGGCTGCTCGCTGAGTACGAGGACAAAGTTTTCGCAGATCACGCCCTTGACAGACAGTCTCCTTTGACGGAGGTGGTGCTGACAGGCGGGTCCCTTCCAATGTTTTTTGGTCTGAAGGAGTTGACGGCTGAGGATCCGGCATCTGAATAGGGCCTCCAGCCCCCGGCGGTTGGTCGAAGCACAGACAGCAACAAAAACTGCTGCTAGGCCCAGTGCCAAAATTTGAGCGCAAATGGCACCTCAAGACATCCAAGACAACTGGCACATGCTTAACATTCCAAAACAAGGATGCACATATGTACTGACAGTTTTCTCTCCGACACACCCAGTTCAACCCCATCTGGGTTTGGGGTGCCACTGGCATTTGCTGCAAGGGCCCTACCTTGCATACCTTGCAGAACTGGGTGCGGCGATGGCGCAGAGCGATAAATATTTCGAGTATGATACCTTGTGTTTCCTTTGCGACGGCTTCCATGAAGACGCTTAGCTCATGCGTTGCCAGCGTTTTGGATATGGCCGGGGCCCCTATTTTTCCTGCACAGGCCCGCTGCTCCTTTCTGATTTCATCCCTTTCCTAGTTGTTTGTTGGCAGTGGTCTTTATTCTGTCTTGGGCCATTAGTTGATATAGACTTACTGTACTTCCCGAGTGTCTGGCCTTTGAACTTTTTGCGAAGACCAAACAGGAAGTGAGATAGGGATTTTGCATTCGACAGGATTGCACCCACTGGATGTTTTTGAGCCGAGTAGCGGTCCAAACTGACTAGCGGAGGTAGGGTCTACAAAAGGAGATGGAAGGTGCAAAGAGTACCTTTCGGGCTGTTGGTACGTTGCCTTTGGAGTGATGTTTCAGGGGGACACTTTTGGGTGCATCTCCAAATAGCGGGACAACTAAACTTTGGGTGGTTGCCAGCAACTCAGAAAAAGGGACAAACCCGACCTCTTTATACTGGGAAAACCACCCCTTGGGGTTGGTTTCAAGGAAAACCACCCCTTGTTGTGGGGTTCCAGCTAACGACTAGAGGGTATTTGCTTCAAAGTATCATATAGATATTCAGATTTCTCTAGAGTGTTTGTTTTATATCCCAGACCCCTTGGGGTTGTCTCTTCGGTTTTGGGGGTAGCGTACATAGGTGCCCTTTTTCGGTTTATTGAGTAGACGAGTTCCACTGGTTTATATTGGTTTTAGTCCATTCACCAGGACCATCTATGTTTCCAGATGGTCACCCATGGTAGCGTAAAAGCACCGAGCCTCAACAAAAGGACGAGCCACAGCATGGATGTATTGGTGGGGCTTTGAAACCTCCTCTCAGGAACTTCCCCAAATGGGTGGTTTGGCTTTTGGGGATTTTTCTTTCCGGGTTCTTGTAGAGGGTCCCCCCGATTGGTGTGAGCCCCTGGTTCTAGAGTCCCCCTACTTGGTGGTTTGGGGATTTTTCTTGCCTGGTTCTTGTAGAGGGTCCCCCTAATTGGTAGTTTGCGGATTTGAGCCCCGGGTTCTTGTAGAGGGTTTGCATGGGAAACTCCCTTCGTTTCACCACCCAACCACCGATTCGGCTCCGATTGCCACCCTTTTTGAGGGGAACACCGAGTGAGTGAGAAGAGACCAACAACTGCAACAATTCTAGCCGGAAACCCAGGGAAAACGGCCGTTTTTGGAAAGAACGATGGTTGAAAAGAATGGAAAAGGAATCAACCCCTAGAACAATGGAACTCTCGTGGTTCGACCACCCCCTCAATTTTTGGCTAAATGGGGACCCCACACCTCCACCACCGATCTGTTTCGACCCAAAGCTGATCCTCAGGTCCCAAAAAAAGGACTAGCGCCCGCCACGTCCTCAAAACCGATTCGGGTAGATGAAGCTTAGTAGGGCCCAATCCCCTTGCCATCGCTGCGGATCTCCGCCTTCTTAAAATTATTGAAGCATGGTTCTGGGGATCCACCAAATTAGTACAGATTGGTTTTGACTATGACTCATATGTTTTTTGGACCATTGGAATGGTTGCTCATATGTTTTTTGGAGCCCATTTTAATACACAGAGCCTTCATGACCCTTAAAAAATGGATAAGCATGACCCCTTAATTTTGCGTAATGACCCCATTTTATTACCGGGTTTTGAGGAAGTGGCTCACTAGTGAAGCCTTCGAGGTGCTGAGCTGCTTCAGCTGGCCCATGCCGGAGGCTCGGCGGCCGTGTAGACACCCCCCCAAAGAAACAGACGCTCCCGATGGATTTTGGGCCCTCAAACAGCCTTTCGTTTTGAGACACCAAAATCTTTCTGGGGTGTCCAACGGAGGGTGTGGATCTTCCATTGGAAGCCCCAAGAGCGTCTGGGTAGACACACCCTCAAAACCGAACTGGCAAACCAAAATGGAGAACCTTGGAACTTGGAACCCTCCGAAGGTCCCCTTTTGATCCCCTTTTGGCCCAGATTGACTTATCTGTGGCAACAGGGATCGACACGGGATCGACACTTTTGGTAAGTTCCATGGCAGGGTAAACAAAAGCAGCAGGAAAGAAGGGAATCCCTCCGCAAAAAAACAACAACGAATATAACGCACGCAAGTTCCAGAATCGGATCCTGACGAGCCCGCCGATTCAGGGGTAAAACGAGCTCGACCCCGATGAAGGCCCGTTGGAGACTTATTTTAGGATTGGGGATTGTCCAGATTGGGGATTTGGCACCTAATGTTAAGAAACCAGGTGAAACACAGTCTAGCTCGATCCTCTATCCATTCTGATTCGATCCCTTGCTGCAAATGGCAAGTCTTGAAAGTTTGACCGCCACAGAACAACAGTTTCTCTTCTGGATGTGTTGAATAAGTGAGAGCTTGATTTGCGCATTCGACCTCCTCCGCGTGAAGCTCCCTAGGTTCATTTGGTAGGCTTCCATGGGCTTTGGGATAGACCCGTCGACAGTGGCTTAGTCTGGACCATGCGGCTGTTCTTAAAGCTGAAAGCGCCATCCACCGGGCCGGATGTGCGGCCAGGTCCATTTAAGGCTGCTTGCAGTGCGGCCAATCCCTGATATGGCCATGGGTCAATATCCAAATCCTAATATCAGTGAACATCCCAATCCCCACAAATAGACTAAAATGGGTGGTGCACCTACCCCAAAATGGTACCATTGGTTTTGACCCACAGCCATATGACATGGGAAACAACGAACAAGGGGAATGAGTCAAAACCAGAATACTTCAAGCGGCTTCAGAAGGAAACCAACGTTTTTGCCAGAGGCACCACCCCTTGAGACAACTCTTGGCTTTGATTGAAATGCACATGAGGTGCGGTCAGCGTAGCTAATGGATGGGAAAGTTGGAGGAGCACCACCAAGTGTCCACCACAACGTCCCTGGTATCCTTTCAGAACAAAAGGCATGTGCGTACCTTAGCGGAGGCTCATTTCAGTGTTGTTCGAAAAGTGGACGCCGTTTTTCTTAACCAGAGGAAACGAGCAGCGCAATCAACAATGGCCAACTTTTTCCTGCGGTTTGCTTTGGTTTCCATTCGGTTTGCTCTTGTTTTCTTGGTGGCTCCCAGCCATCCACTTAGCCTTTTAGCCTTTTAGTGTTTAGTGGTAGTTTCCATTTAACCCACTAAAAGTTAAACTTTAGCGGGGGATCTGAGGGCAGCCCAGTTTTCCTTTTCCAGTCGCTTTGCTTTGGTTTTTCCTCTCAGTCGACTCGGCCGCACAGGCGGACTACCTGCAGCACGTGGCACTGACCACGAAGCTCACGGAGAAGCACCAGGCTCGTGGTAGCGGCCGTGAGGCGATGTGCACGGGAAGTCTTGTTGAGTAAGGCATGGCTGTGGGTCAAAACCAATGAAACCATTTTGGTTGGTAGGTGAATTCACCACCCATTTTAGCCTTTATTTTAGTGGTTGGATTGGGATGTTCACAGGGGGTACGGGGTTTTGGCCATGGGATGCTTCCATTTGCTGAAATGGTTTTGTTGTAATTTTCCCTGTTGGCTTTAAGGGAATCTATGAAAACTGGACATATGCATATTGTCCATTTGCTGACATGAATTTGTTGTGTTTCCCCTGTTGGCTTATTTCACTATTTTATCAGGGCGGGGTTTGGTTCCGTGGGTTTAAAGTGACCCCACCGGGACGCAAAAGTAACATTTGAAAAGCTCGCAAATGTTGATGTTGAGGCCCAGTCAGTCGGTCAGTCGAAGGAACGCAGTGTGGGGGAATGGGGTGGGGCCTTTTCGGGGGGAGCGCCATTTGGTCAACCCGTTGGGAGACTCGTACAGTCGCGTGTATATCTCTTGGTAAATATAGTCAACCCGTTGGACACGTTTGGACACCTGATCGCTGTTAGCCCTTAGATTTCCCGTTCCAGGTCCAAAAGTGTGGCTGTTGCGCGGAGATACGGCCAAATCCTGCACCAGTTGGGATACAAAACTCCATGAATACTGAAATAAGCCACCCACCAACTGGTGCGAAGCCCACAGTAACAGACTGATGACAGGGCTTACCTTTTGTTTTTTTTGTGAGGGTACCTTTTTAAGGCTGGCTTGAAGGGGAAATGCACAAGGAGACTGCACCTACCGTGGATGGACAAAATCCTGCACCACCTAAGAAGCCCTGGTTTCTGATGATTGGTTTCAACATTGTGATGATTGGTTTCCTGCGCCACCTAACAAACGTTATGGCCACTGTTTTCCAAGCGGTGCGAAATGGGTTTCGTGCATCCACAGTATTTTGAGGGTCCCGCGGATTTTGAGAGACGAAGGGGCAGACTGGCACTCGCCCAATGGCAGGTGGAGATGGCCGACTTCGACGGCCGGCGCCAGGTGCTGTGCATCAAAGGCGCCAACTGGTTCCAGGCTGGACACTCGAGCCACGTGGTCAAAACCGATTCGGGTAGATGAAGGTTAGTAAGGGACAATCCCCTTGCCATAAAAATCGCTGCGGCTATCCGCCTTCTTAGGTCTTTGCAGAGTTCTGGGTAGACCATTTTAATACGGAATTTTAATTAGGACTCACTTGTGAGTTTCCTATTCCCCCGTTGGGTTGCTTGGAACTTCGCCGTTTTGGACGTCAATGTGAGGTTCCTTTTGGCAGGTTGATGTTCAAAGCGGAAATATAGGCAGCCCTGAAGATGCGGCGGGAACGAGCCGTGGGAATTGCTCTAAGCAGTACAAAAAGACTGCGTTTGGACCGAGCTCACCGATTCGGGGGTAAGACAAGGTCACCCACAAGGTCCTTTATTGTGAATTCCAGTCCGGGAACTGTAGTCATTTGTGCAGATGATGAGGATGAGTGATGTTCTTGAACCCAGTTGTCCAGTGGCGCCCTTTTTTCCTTTTTTGTCCCCTTTAAAACGGGATGCCTTTTCTTCCCATGGATTTCCACTGGGCATCTGAGTGACCTCAAGAGGAGAAATGGGAGTTGAGGGTGTGTTCGGACTGGGGTAAGAGTCAGGGAAGTTTCTTGAGAGTGATGAAAGTGAAATCACCTTTGTCGGGGTGGCCTGCGGCACGCTCCTGATGCGGTTGTCTCCAAATGGCGTTTGTGTTTTGTTTCAAGACCAAAGAGGGCATCCGCAAAATCCAGAATGACAAGCCTTCCAAAAACCATGTTAGATTTGTTTGGCCTTGGGAAAGGACCTCTCTTGGGGTTTGTTTGTGAAGTTGTTGGGTTCTTCAAGGCAAAACAGCCCATTTTGGCGCTGGGAGTTACTTCAATTGGTGTTGCGCACTTCGGTTGACGTATTTTGGCAAGCCCTGTGGTGTTTGGCAGCCCAACAGATCTTGCTGGGAGGTTGGCATGTGCAACGTTGGCTGAGGGCAAAAAAACGTTGGCATGGGCTCATTTAGGTCGAGGCTCTTCATCCCCCCGGTACCTACCAACAACATGTGATGTGGGTTCGACTCCGGAGGGCGGTCATTGCGCCCTATCAGTGGGACTCATTTGATCGGACACCTTCCGACGACAAACTAAAAGGACAACCGAAAGACGAGGGTCACAAACAAGAATGAACTCGAAGCTTCCCTGGGTTTCCGGAGGTTTTCTAGAAAGAAGGATCCCTGGAAAGAATGGAAATGGAAGGTACCCCTAGAAGCAAGAGCAATCTCGAAACGTTGCAAGAATTCAAAGAAGAGGCGTGAAGATTAGCCAGGGTTTGGCGCAACAGTCCCTGCCAGGTGGCTCAGAAAGGCTTGGTGGCGCCCTACTGCTTCCGCCGGGACGTCACGCAGGCCGTGAGTTTACCTCAAGAATGCAACGAAGGAGTTGCGCGCCTATGCGCGATGGTTAAAGATCGCATAGCTGGCATTGCCATCAACAATACGTCTTGTTGTTTTCGAGCTTCCGCTCGGCCGATGGTGAGCATGAAGTAGAAACTTGAAAGAACCCTGCGGACATGCAACATAATCAACCAACAGAAGTCCATTTTGGTAGTTAGCGCTTATCCGAATTATACCTAGTGGGTCCGTTCGAATCGAAAGGTGCCATTTCTCGGTTCATAAAACGATGGGGAGTGCTCAAGTTGTTGGACAATTATGGATGCTTCTAGAGCGCATCTGTTGGGGGGGGGGCAGGGTTATGAACTCTTGCTTGTAGACAGTTCAAACAGTGCTCTGTTGAGGACATTCTAGAGGTCGTCTGCAAATGGCCGGCACAAATGAGGCTCTTTTTTTTGGGTGGGGGTGGATGTGATCAAATCTATGAGAGAGCATATGCTTGTCCTGGGGGTCAGGTGGGGAAATTCAGCGGTGCCTGGGGGTAAGATGGGAAGCTTTTAGGGAGCGCCATCCCATGAAAAGAATGGCAAGGAAAAAGGGGACCCAATTTGGATGACAATCCTGAAGGGTAGATGGTGGTGAAACATTACCCCAACCATCGTTTTAATGGTGGCAACAGAACCCCAGGGCCCCTTTCACAATGTATTGCTCTTTCTCACCCCTCAATACACCCCTTTCAAACCTTTTCACACATGGGAGTCGCCAAAACCCCCCTTCAAACCTTCGTATGAGTGTGGGTCAATATCAAGCCACCAGGAATCGGACTGCAGGTTTATTTTTTTTATTTTTTTCATTGACCAGGTTGCAAGCCATGTTGGGGTTACCCTGTTTGTGACAGCCACCCATATCCCCCAGCCATTAATTTTTGGGATGGAGAACCTCCGCCATATCCCCCAGGGTCCTTGTCACTCACTCCATATGAACTCGAGCCAGGCCTTTCGGCGGGTCTATGGGTGGTGGACCTCCTTGGACCCTCGGAACTTCCTGGTCCCCGAGGAGCTCCTTTGGGATTGAGTCCGGATCCATCCTCCCCAGCGAATCTGGGGATGTGCTTCTTGGAGTTGGAATCCTTCTCACCATTTGGCTGTGGGTCAAGGCCAATGGTACCATTTTTGGGTAGGTGCACCCTATTTTAGTGGGGATTGGGATGTTCACTGGGGGGTACGATTTGGATTCTGACCCATGGCCATTTGAGCCACGATCACAGCCCGGCTAAGGTATGATGAAGGTTGGTACGGGAGAGTCCCCTTGCCATAAATGGGTGCCTTCGCCCCCTTCTAAATTCTGGAAGCATGGTTCTGGGTAGACCATTCGCGTACCAGGTTTTGGTTATGACTCATTTGGGTGGCTCTCAAAATAGGGGACCCCTTTCTGGATGCTTTCTGTGTGAAGGAAGCCAAATGGAAACCACCTGCAGGGGGGTCCTCAACTTTGAGAAGCACCCATTTCGAGAGAACACAGTTTTAGTGGGTGCCCCTATTTTCCCACGTACCCAGATTCAGCTATAAAACCCTTGATGAAGACATGAGAAAGGCATGAGGCGAACTGCCATGTCGTTCCTTTCTTCATCGCTATGCCTTTCCTACGGTAGGAATCCTACCTCTTGATACGGGTGTGGCTCAAATTTAAAGAGCCAGGGTTACATGGTGTTAGTCTTTGTTTCCACTTACCAGGGCAAGCCATTTTGGGTACCCATTTTTGACCCACAGCCATAATTTTGACTGGCGTCACCTCAAGAGCAGGAAAGAAAACATGGGGAATGTGGACCTGGTTTGACTGGCGGTTGAAGGTAGAGGGAAACATCCCAAGCCTGGCTGCTATTATCTCGTTGTCTTATTTGTTTAATTACTGATTGGCAGTTGTTACTTTATATGATTCGTATGTATCATATTGCTCCTTTGTGTTGGCTGCATTTATCATACGACTATTGCCTCTTACTGTATATCACATGTAGTGTTATCTTCTTTCATCTCTTGATCCTTCATTTGTTTGTCTCTTACTTTATGGGATCGTTTCCACGGCCAGGCTTGACGAAGCACATCCCTCCATTCATCCACCTCCCTTCCTAACCCTAGAAAGACAATAGAAATGATGTGAGATGAAGGGTGGACAGTTGTCTCTCTTCAGTCCATCTCTTCTTTCTTGATTGGAGGTGAAATTGCGGTTGAAACGGATGAAACCCAAAGCATCATGGAATCTTCGGGGGGGGCTATGGGGTGGGGGGGTATCCCTGGATAAGCCCGGATAACCCAAGGATAAGCCCTTAATGAGGCCTTATCAAGGGATTAATAAGGGATAGCCCCCCTCCCCCTGGGGGTTTGTGAAAAGCATGAAGATGAAGGGAAAGGTGACCATAGATCACGAATAAGCAACCACTGATTTATGTTCAGAGGACAGCTCCCTTGGGTTTTTGTTGAGGACATGTTTGGGGTGGTGGAACGGGTAGCAAAAAGGAAATCTAGCCGATTAAAATTGCAGGGTCCCTTGTCTTGACACGCAAACACATCACCTGCTGGTTGAAAAAATAGTGAGTTTCTTTTTGGTGGGGTGATGTTCAGGGGCACAACATAAGGAACCCTGATATCCGGGCTACATCCACGTTTTCCATGTTTCACTCTCCAGACCCCTTTTGGGGACATTGGGTGTTTTTTTTTTTGGTTGGACCCCCAGCATGGAAGTCATACTAATTACCTTTTGGCTCCCCTTTAAAGCCATCAAACAAGGGTTACCAAAGAAAGACACGCCCTCGGAAAAACTTGCTGAGCCACTTTCGAGGGACCCAAGAGTTGGCCTACGAAGGAACCAGCCAAGCATGATCTCACTTAGCGACGTCAGCGCCCAAAACCCCGTTCATTGAAGTGCAGCTTCAATTAGGATAGCAAGGCCGGTAATTATCAGCCTCCACCCTTTTTCTACCAAAAGTCCCGAGGAAAGTTCCTTGCAGAGTCGATTTGGGCGTGTGAGTCTTTTGGAGACCCCTCCCCAAACATGGCCCTCGTTATTTCCTTTGGCTTCCCTTCGAAACCAACCCCAAAGAAGGGCCCGTTTTTCGGGTCCTTGGGGAGCCTTAGGGAACCTTGCACCGCGTGTTGGGATTCCCTTAGGGCACCCGCCCCAAAAATGGCCACGGTGTGCGTTTGGTGTTGGTTGTCCCTTGAACCCAACCAAAAAGGGTACCCTCAAGAAAAAGGGCACACCCATTTCTTATTTCGGGTTGGCAAATGCGACCATCCACCCAGTTTAGTTCCCTGAGCTTTTTGTTTATCTTCACCCAGATCTTTGTGAAGACCAGTATCTGCGTAAAAGATTAACCGCGGCTGTGTAACGTTGTCGCTTTTCAGCATGGACCTCCGCTGTGGGGCTTTGGGGGCAGGAGAAGGTCCTAAGGTTTAACAGATTAGGGAGTTTACTCTAACAGTATTCACCTAGTGGATTACCCTCCCATGGAGCCCGCAAAAAGCAGACTTCGAGGAAACTCCTCTTGGATCCTTTTTGGTGTTCCATGTTAGAGTAACCCTAAGGCCTGGGTGGTTTCCCAGACGCCCCACGTACCGGGTCCCTTCGTTCAGTAGTGCCCAGTTGGTGTTTCAAAAATGTGTCTAAAGAAGATTTGCTCAGAAGAAATGCGCCCTGATCGCCCTGTTTGCCCGGATATCCACGGATTTCGCTGATGGCATCCCTCCTACGACTTGTTTGGTCAGAACAAATGCGCCGTGTGTTGCCACGGGTTTAGGTTGAGTGTGTCAGGAGGGAACCTTTCTGGCGCTCTTCCGCAACGGGGATGCCCCTCGCCGGAGTTGTTGTTTATTTGGGGCGGGGAGGTAAAAATGACTGGTTTCTGGAGCTTGAGTTACTTGCTGGACCATATGGAAACAAATAAAGGGCTGAAGTACAAGCATGGTGATTCACGTGGAAATATGATACGCCACACCATGATGTAGGCATCTTAGCACGTGGAGTGTACCCGAATTTCGCAAATACCCCTATAAACCATCCAACTGGTGGTTTCCCTTAAGGGGACCAAAGCCTGGGTTCATTCAACCACATTCCCTGCCTATCGCACCAATCGCAAGTTCCAAGAGAACAACAAACATTTGTTGGTTCCCCCATGTGCAATTGGACGGACTGGTTTTGAGGATGTCTTGAAGGCCCTTGCAATGCGATGGTCATTTCGGGGTGGCAACGTTTGTTTGGGTTCCACCGTGGCTTGGGAAGGCCGCCAAGGCCGGACAAAAAAACGAATGAGTTTGCTTGGTACTGTAAGACCAAGATTTGTCATGATGGGAGCAAACTAGTATCAATGTAAGCGTAACCCTGATGTTGTATATTTATGTATACAAATACATATTATATGTATATCTATATATACATGCATCGAGGGTTACTGTATCGAGCGTTTCGTCGGTGTCGCCAAACGTCCACCAGATGTTGAGCCGTGAGTTGTTTTTTGGCTTGCAGGGATCCCGGGAAGTGAAGGAAGGGGTGATCAGTCGGATTGACATGTGGGTTAGTAGCCCAGCCCCCTCAAAATGTTCTTTTGGTTTCCAACACCAAAAAAGGGCAGCCTCCAAAAAACATACCCATTTCCCAGACATCTGACCTTGGGTTGGTGTGGTTTGGTGTCAGTTTGGTCGGGTCAAGTCATGTGGATGGCCACTCTAAGCCTCCAGCTGTTGGGACAAACATGGACTCGCTGAACAAAGAAACTAGCGGGACAAGCCCTGTTTTGTTTGCATGCTTCCAGACGCTCCTGGGGATTCCAATGCAACCCAGACCCTCCATTGGACACCCCAGAGGGGTTTTGGGGTGCTGGTTGAGGGCCCAAAATCAATCGAGAGCGTCTGGGTTGGGAAAGCCTGCGTTTTTTGGACCGTTCACATGAAAGTGGCCTGGCACCTTTGAAACGCCGGCAAAGAGTTGGAATCGCGGGG